TAATTGAGACACTTTGCCAATGTAACGAGATAATTTACATTTAAAATAAGAAAAAAATATTGCATTGTCTTATTTCTAGTGCATATTATCTAATTATCTTATTTTCAGAGTAAAAATACTCATTCCATTGGCAAACTATCTCATTTACCTACTAAAATTAAGGGTAAATACACTAAATTTAAGACATTATTACTTATATCTGGATGGTTTTTGCAGTGTAACACATGCTTTTACACATGCACTCTAATAATGCACCTGTAGGTAAACGGAAACCGTAGAATCAGCTCAGTGGTCACCGGTTAGACTCTCACCATTGGTTTCTTGAACTCGTTGGGTTTTATGCAGCGGACGAAGAACGGCTGGCACACGCTGAGCGTCCTCATCAGCATCTCCAGGGAACGCTTGAACTGGCTGCTCAAAGTTGGAGAACGCTTCCTTGTTTCAACACCCTAAAAATACAGTTTAAAAAATTGCAATAAAAACCTGTGTGTTAGGTAACGTTCCTTAGCGCTTAACTTTGACATCAGGTAAATAACTAATAAAAAAGGATGAGTACATTGCAACACACTGCAAGCAAAAATTACATAACAGTATCTTCTAGAATATAGGATACTACAGATCAATGAAAATATTAAATAATATTTAAACACGTTATTAACAAAATAAACCAAGAGAAAATTACAATAAAAAAGGTGATTTATATTAAACTAAAAAGACTTCTTTTCCATTTACAATAGAGGGAGAGGAGTGTTTATTCTAATGTGCAGCTTAAGCTTCATAGTAGAATGTTTCCACCCTAGACTAGATAAGCAGGCAAAAACGAAAACCATCTTTGGTGTAAAAAAAATCAAAATAAAGGTTGTTAAATGAGGAAGTTATGTCCCCTAAAAAAGCCTTTGCGCCTTGGGGGCTTCCTCACGGTTCTTTTCCTGGGAGCAAGTTATTTACTACTCTTAACTCAAACTAGGTAAAACCATGAAAAAAGGACTATAAAACAGGAGTAAAAAGTAACAGAGTTTATTCCAGATCAGGTCGTTACAGAACAGAGAAAAATGCTTGGAGTTCGCACAGCTGTGGGCTCAAAAATCCCGTCCGCGAGCGTCCGGCTAAGATTGAGCCCCAAACAAGGCCATCTTCTCCTTCTTATAGCTCATGAGTCTATGTGTTGCACCAGATGGATGCTTAGCGGTCCGTATCAGAAACTGACACGCCATCCATGCCCAAGGATTACAGATAGCTCTCCTCTATCAGTCTGGCTCCAAGATGTTCCCATATCCTGTGTATTCTTAAAGACACGAAGCCTGTCCTGATTAGATGACCTCCGTACACACAGTGACATCCACCATGTGAAGGAAGGCCTTCTACTCTGTCTAATCTGGCTAATAAAGTAACAATGCACATGATGTATAAAGCATAAAGGAATGGTTTATCACCTTTGTCCTTATAGCAGTTTAAGTTCTTCTTAATAGAAAGGTACATGATTCAGAGCTGCACATCAGCATAACACTGACCTGATAACATATTTCTACTCATTTTTTGTTATGTTTTTGTATTAAGAGTAATCACTTTATAAGTTTATCACGTTATTCACTATTCTAACACACATAGGGCCGGATTTATCAAGATCCAATTTTGCGTGCA